CACACACACACACACACACACACACACACACACACACACACACACACTCCAAACCCAACAAATCAGAATCCCTGGGGATAGAGATTGGACAATAGTAGAGGTTCAAGATCCCTTCTGATTCCAAAAGCCAGTCAGGATTGAGAAGCATCTGTGGAGATCATCAGCTCAATGATTAGTTGTGTCAGAATCCTCTGGCTGAGTCCCAGAAGGCTGGACAGGGCCCACAAATTAACATTTAGAATAAATTCCCAAGGAATGCTGGTGAAGACCATGGTTGAGTGTCTGTGTACACTAATGCTGGTGTAGGGGTTGATAAATGGATATATATGCACACATATGTTAATATAGCTATATTTTATAAAAACATTGCAATGAGAAAGTAAATCTTCGTATAATAAGTTTAAAACCACTGCCAAAATACAAACTTTTTCTTGAGAGTTCTACTTGTACCATATTTTTTCCTCCAAATGATACAGACCTAGCTGTATTTTTCCTGCTCTTGCATACATTTTGGTACAGTCTTTGCTCTTTTAAACCTGTAATTAGAGTGATGAAGACAGACAGAGAGAGAGAGAGAGAGAGAGAGAGAGAGAGAGAGAGAGAGAGAGAGAGAGATGGAGGCAGGGTTAAGGGAGCTAGGAGTGACATATTGATCAACATATTGATCATTGAGAATTTAACAAAATTCCCAACTACTGTCCTCATGCTCTGGCCTCAGATGCTAAGTTACAAGATTTCCGTGGAGATGGATAACCTGATAATACCCTAGGTTATAATAAAAGTGCCTGCTCATTGTAAGCATGGCAATCAGTATTCTTCTTAGTATTAGAGTTCTTTCTGCAAGAAAACAAAACAACAGCAACAAACTCTGGCTTTTCAGTCTTTGTGGGTTCATCCTTTCCTGGAAACAACCAGGAAAAAAACAAATGGTAAAGTGTTCTGCATAGGCTGTGGGGTGCTTCTGGTTGCTTTTGATGGCCATCTTGTACAGATTAAGGAGTGCCCAGAGGATTAGTACAGTACACTCCTGGGAGTGCGGGGATGGATTTTTTCTGATGGTTCTGACTGACTGAATGAATGCATTTATCGATGGATTCCTATGACGGTGGCATTGTGAGAGGCAGAGAAAGCTAGGGGTTGGGGCCTAGTTGGAGGAGTAGGTTACTGGAGGAGGGTACTTAGGTGTTGTTTTGGCACTAAAGGATGTCCATGAGAGTCATGTGCGACTCCCTTAGCATGGTAGCTTCTAACATTCTTCTTGGGTGGTGCTGGCTCTTCTGTGTGCTTACTCTTAGATCTGTCCCTTTTTTATCCCTGATGTCTAGAAATGCAGGCACTGGAGCACAGATGAGGAGCTGCTGAGGGCTAGGGACAGTAGTTAACAGAAGGACGCATGGATGACTGAGGGCTGTAACCTTAAGGACGTGGTAAAGAAGTAAAAGGCTCTCTACTGTAAGTCTCCGCTGTTTATGTGTGCATTGCCATTGCCTTTGAACTTATCCCTAGCATATGTCCTGGCTTATCAAGTCCTCTATAACACGGTGACTGGTCCTGAGGCAATCTCCATAGGATTCACTTTCTCATGTAGCACTCACTTCCAGAGGCCTCTAGGACAAGTCTGGGCACCCTGTTTGTTTCTGTAATTTGCCTTATCCTTCTTGGTTCTGGCTCTTAGGACTTTGGTGGGTTTATTGTAGATTTTTTTCTCCCTCTATTTATTTGAAAATTTACTTATTCATTTATTTGTTTGTTTACTTGTTTATTATTAAAAATAGGTTCTTTCCCCATATAATACAACTCAACCACAATTTCCTTTCTCTTCACTCCTCCCAGCTCCCCCCTCCACTTTTCATCTCCCCCATAGCTATTCCTCCTCCATTTCCAATTCATTAAAGAACAGGCCTCAGAGAGACAACAGCCAAACAGGACAAAACAAAATACAATAAGGCTAAAGCTTTCATACTGAGGCTGAACAAGGCAACCAAATTAGAGGAAAAGAGTCCAAAGAACAGATGAAAGAATCAGAGACACACCCACCCTCCCTGTTAGGAGTCCTACAAAAGCACCAAGCTAACAGCCACAGCAAATACACAGAGGACCCGGTAGAGACCCATGCAGGCCCTGTGCTTGCTGCTTCAATCTCTGTGATTTCATATAAGCCCTGTTTAGCAGATTTGGTGAATCGTGTTCTCTCGGTGTTCTCCATCCCTTCGGGCTGCTATAATCTTTCTGCCGCCTCTCCTGTAGGCTTCCCTGATATCCGAGGAGAGGGACCTGATGGAGATGCTCTTTTTGTAGATGCTCTTTCTGCATAATAATTGGCTGCGAGTCTCTGCACCCACTCTCATCTGTTTCCAGAGGAAGCTTCTCTGATAATGACTGAACAAGGTGCCAATCTGTGAGTCTAGCAGAACATCATTAGAGGAATAATTTCCTTGATGATTATTATTTTGGCTGGTCATGTTTGGTTGTACCTCAGATCTCTGGTATCCAGTCTTCTGTTCTTGGTCATCTGGGCAGTGTAGGGCATGGGCTCCTTCTTGTGGTATGGGCCTCAAGTTAAACCAAGCGCTGTTTGGTCACTCCCGTGAGTTTTCCACTGCCATCCAGCACATCTTGCAGGAGTACAGATTGTAGGTCACGGGTTTTATAACTGGGTTGTTGTCCAGGTTTCTCTTTCTGTAGCCTGCAGAGTGCCTTTTTGTGCTAACGAGATTAGAACATGGGGTGAAACTTCCATGCAGGCATACGCACAACCTCTCAACATTGAAAGCCCTCTGCAGATGCTGTATAAGTGAAGCGGACCTCACTTTTCTTTTTCAGCAGGCATTTCAAACATTTATATCATTGCACCTTACGTTCAGCTCACCCTCCCATTGGTTCTCCTTTGGGTTCAAATTTGAGTTTTAATTTAAGAGGCCTCGGCTATGCTGATGTGGTCTAAGGGGTGTTTGCTTACACTTGTGTTGCTGTACTTTCTGCATCAAGGTTCCAATGTCACCCAGTATATGTACTTCTCTTCCCTTAGGCTTCTTTTAGATGACTAAAACCAACCAGGACTCTCCTCATCTCCCACCTCTACCCTCAGCTGTTATACTACCTATAAGTATTTTGTCAAGGGAAAAAAATCAGCATAATTTACCTGAGAAATTACAACACAACACAAAATAAAAATCCCGAGTGGTGACGTGAATGAGTATGGGTGGCCCTGGAGGCTCATATGTTTGAATCTTTTGTTCCCAGTTGTTGGAGCTGTTTGGGAAATATTAGAAAATTGGAGGAGGTGGGTCACAGGGTAAGTCTATGTCAAAAGCCTCTCATCATTCCCAGGGTACTTTCAGAACTACTGTTCTGGCAACATTACCTGCCGGACTGCTGCCATCAGGTCCTCCGCTATGATGGTGTGATGGTAAATTCTCATCCTTTGGAAGCCACAACCTTGCAAGAATTCTTCCTTCTCAAAGTTGGCTTGATCATGCATCTAATACATCAAATTACAGCCCTCAGAACCAATAGACGCTTAAAAAGAGACACCAATTACGTGATCAGACAATACTTGAAAGGAACAGAAGTGTGGTGTAAATCCAGGATAATTGGCCCCAGCTCAACTGGCTCCTTGCCATTCACTAAAATCAGCTACTCTATAAGGGTATATTACACTTGGCACAAGAGCTTCGTCTGAGTCAGTGGCCTCTCACACAGTATTTAACAGCCCAAGTGGGACATGCAGACATTCTGGCACAGTCCCCCAAATACAGTTTATTTTGAAGACAGTAATAATCTAAATGTCCCAGCTCTCAGATTTGCACCTAATTGCATTCTGATGACTTGAGCATCTTCCAATATCTTATTACATGACTGTGGAGTCACAACTACCTGAAGATTATTATATATTTTCTTCTAAGTTCCCCTAGTTATGGGATAATAATTTCTGGGCTTAGTGGTCGGATGTACTCTTCATGGAACACGTGGGCTTTTAATTTATTCAGAAGAGCTAGGGTCAGGTACTCATCTTCAAGGATGGAAGTCATATTGTCCCTTTTTAATTATCTGTGTTAGGTAAAATGACTTCTTCTTTTCATACAATCTTTATAAGGTTCATTATTAGTATTTAAAAATAAAATGTTAGTTTTTTGATATACTGATTTTGTAACTCCCAAATTTGCTATCCTTGTTTATTACTTCTAACAGTCTCATGATGGAGTACTGAAACTTTTTTGTCTGTGTTTAAAATGATGTTATCTGGAAACAAGGCTAATTTAATTCTTTCTAACGTGGATGCTCTTTATTTTTTTCCTTTGTTTTCTAATTGCTCTTGATAAAACCTTTAAGTGTCTGTCTTAGTTAGGGTTTCAATTGTTACAAAGAGACATTATGATCACCAAAACATCTTTTATAAAGGAAAACATTTAACTGGGGATTGGCTTACAGTTCAGAGGTTTAGTCTATTATCATCATGGCAAAATGGATGGCAGAATGCAGGCAGACATGGTGCTGGAGAGGGGCTAGCAGGAAGGAAGAGTGAGTCTCTGGGCCTAGGTTGAGTTTCTAAAACCTCAAAGCCCGCCCCCAGTAATGTACTTCCTCCAAAACAGAACCACACCTACTCCAACAAGGCCATACCTTCTAATATTACCACTCTGTGAGATTATGGAGCTCATTTTTATTCAAATCACCACAATCTCCATAGTGGAAACTACAAAATACAGATGAAAGAAATTGTAGTGGTCATGAAAATAGGAAGCCATCTCATTTCATAGTCACAAGTATTGTTATTGTTAAAATGAGCATTATCACCCAAAGCAATATGCACATTGCTCAATGCAATCACTATCAAATTACCAATGCCTTCCTTTCCAGAATGCAGAAAATTCTAAAACTAGTATGGAACTTTAAAAGAGCTATAGTAGTCAAAGTGATTCTGAGCAAAGTTGGACTGTGGTAATTCCTGGTTTCAAAGTTTAGTGCCAAGCTAATAATCAAAGCAACAGGGCAGTAAAATTCATACATAGACCAATGAAACAGAACACAGAAGTCAGTATATATAGTCAGCTGGATTTTAACAGAGATACCTGTACCGTACATTAATTTTTTTGTAACTCTTGGGAATGGGACTTCTTTCATTTTTATAAGGGTCAGTAGAGAAAGCGCAGTTTGTTAAGTACAGTGCTCTGAGGAAACTGGATATACACAGTGGACAAGAAAACAGAATCCCCATCTCTTACCAAGTACAAAATAAGTCAGAATGGATTACACGGTTAAATGTGAGACTTGTAACTATGTATTTGTTAGGAGAAAAAATACAAGAAATGCTTCAAGGCATTGGAAGGGGTAAGAGAACTCTGTGACAAGAACTCAGAAACACCAGAAATGAAAGCCAAAATAAGGCAATAGTTTGTCGTAAGACTAAACAACTCCATTTAGATAAAGAAGCAACTGACAGAGATGAATTAACATAAAAATGAAAGAAATATCTTCAGATCGTGCTTCAGTCAGGGGATTAATATCCAGACCATATCAAGAACTCTAAAAAGAAAAATAAGTCTCAAGATCAACAATAACAAAAAATTCACTTGGTTTGATTTAAAACTAGGCAGTAGAACTAAATAAACCCCTCCCTCAAAAGAAGATGTAGAAATAACCAAAATAACCAAATATATTAAAAACTGTTAATTGCTAGAAATGAAAATCAAAACCAAAGTGTAAGATCACCTCAGTCAGTGAACATGGATGCTATGGATGCTGGTAGGATGGCTCAGTGGGTAAAGGCTCTTGCCTTGGTAAGCCTGATAACCTGAGTTCAATTCCTTGAGCCCACAAAGAGATAGAAAGAGGGAGCTGGTTCCAAAGAGTTATTTTATCTCCACACATGTGGCAAGTGGGAGCTGACATACACACAAGTATGCACAGGCACACATGTGTGCATGTACACATGCATACACACACACACACACACACACACACACACATACTGCTTTTTATCAAAAAAGACTAAAGACAATAAGTGCTGGTGAGAATATAGAAGAAAAGGAACCCTTGAACATTATTGGTGGTAAATTAGTACAACCGTTGTAGAAAACAATACGGAGGGTCCTTAAATTAAAAACAATCCTAACAAGTAATCCAGCAATTCCACATGAGAAAGTGTCCAATGCAAGTGAAATTATAAAGCAAAAAGATACCAGAACTTTCATGTTTATTGAAACATTCACCGTGATCAAGCTGTGGAACCACTCCAGGTGTCTACAGTGGGTGAATGGATAAGGACAGCATGGGATATACATCGTGGAATATGATCCGATATTAAAGAATAAGATTTTGTTATTTGCAGCAACACAGAATTAGAGGTCATTATATTAAATGAAGTAAACCAGATACTGAGAAAGAAAGACCACAGTTCTCACTTCTGTGTGAAGAAAAATGAATGCAATCACAGACCTGAATAGAGAGTTACTATTACAGGCAGGGTTGGGCAAGCGTGAGGTAGAGCAAGTTAGATGTGGGTATCATAAGACAGCTGGACACTGCAGCACATTGGGGGAACTATTGTTTATAACAATCTGTGGTATGCAATGATGAAAAAAAGAATACAAGAGTTCTAAACACATCAAAAAAACAATTATTGTTTGGGAACTAAGCTCTTATTGATCTGATTTGACTGCTGCTTGTCTGATAATGGGATGAAACCTCCAACCCTTACTTGTAGATAATTTTGATCAAGAGGGCAAAAGCAGGTGCTTTTTGCAAGAATATTCTGATTTCTCAGAGATGGCTCTGCCATATTCTATTCTCTGGCCCCCAGGAGCTTGTAATCATATAATGTAGATTGCCGTGAGCTATCACAGTCTCCATAATGTTTAAAAGTTCAAAGTCTCTTCTGAGATTATTGTAATCTCTTAACTGTCATGTCCTATAAAATAAAAAAACTAAGTTACATACTTCTAAGTCATATACATATAATAGCACAGGATACACATTACCATTCCAAAATGTAGGGAAGGGAGCATAGTGAGGAAATACTGGACCAAAGCAAGACCAAAAACAAGCTGGGCAAATTTTAAACTCTTCATCTCCATGTCTGATGTCAAAATGTTCTTTAGATTGATCTCCAACTCCTTTCAGCTTTGTTGACTGCAGCATACTTCTTTCTCCTGGGCTGGTTTCAATTGCTGTTAGCGATTCTTCTTAGCAGGTATTCCCTAGCTTTGGCATCTTCAAAATCTCGGGGTTTCCAAGGCAATCCAGGCTTCACCTATACAGCTTCACTAAATGGCCTTTTTAGGCCTTCAATCAGGGGT